ATGTTCAGTCCTGCCAGAATGCCGCCCTTAGAACCGCAACAGGGAGCCTTCTCATGACACCTGTCGATCACGTACATGAGGAGGCAAAGGTCTTACCGGTGCGATAGCATAACAAAATGCTGTCAATGCAATACCTGCTTGGGTGTTGTAGACAAAGCCATCCGAATCACCATCTTGTGGATAGGCAACCTCCGCCCAGGCACGCTAGGAAATACCTTCATAATCTAGAGAGAGAAGTACAGAGTAAAGGCCTGCACAAGACGAATTATATGAATTATGCTTTTTTTGACACACTGACTTTGTCTACTCAATCATGCGCTATGTATTTGAAAAGCAATGACAACCAACAACATCCCCCATTTTGATTCATGTGTGCCATTGTCTAAGGTCCGATCGTGGCATGGCTGACTCGAATATTTGCATGGTGTTCTCGAAAAATGCAGGGTGTCATCGAACCGTGTCATCGTCAAATTGTGTGTCATTTGTGTACGTGTGCTTAAATTGAGAGAGTGTGTGTGTGTTACTTTCGACGATGAGGATGTGTTTTTGTGTGTGCTGTAATTTTGAAGTAACAAACACCGCGTAAATATAAAATTGAGTTCAATAACAAAATGTGCATTGACATCAACAAATGAATAGAAAAAATGAAATATATACTGAACAATCTCAATTTATTGATGATTATCTTAAAATTTTGGTCATAAAAAGGAGGTAAATATTGTTTGCCTATTTACTATCTACATATAGTGTTCTTTTAAAATTAAAGTTTGTGGGCAGAGATTTGACTCTCATTCAATAACAGAATATGCACAGAATTGAACAATGGAAGTATATAGTGTTGTTACGTGAATTACAGTAGCACTCATACTCATTTACACCTCAATACCGGAGGCAAACATTCATGAAATTATAATCAAAATAAGAACATTTTTCAGGGGATTATTGTTTTTTTAATAAGGATTAACAATAACCACGAAATGTGAATGTTTCGTGTGGACCAATTAGAAGTACCTTTAATATTTTAGTATTCGCCAAGAAATTCTTTATTACAAAAAGTTTATATTTTCACATATCGGAAAAGCAGGTAGCGATTGCGCTTTGCATTCATCACGTGTGTGTCTTTTTCGTTGGCAATTGTTTCATAATTGTTGTTGTTTTTTTGATAGAACATTTTTGCTTGACACACTATTCAACATTCCCTTTTATTGGTCATTACATGTTATGACGATGGGTTTGAGTGTGACCGACATGACGAGACATGGAGCATTTGGTTGGATGTCACGTACTGTTATGCGTTTGATCAAACAGGGCACAACATGACGAGCGTTTGAAATTTGTCACATTTGCGGCCGTTAAGTACAGAGGTATAAGAGAGAGCCTCTAGATCAACAGGCCTATCAAGCAGGACTGAATAGTATTCACTCTAATGCGGTCTCAGAAGCCATTGAAGGATATAGAGTGAATACTGTGCTAGGAGACCATCCCCCTCCCGTCGCAGCTGAAGAACGAGAGCTGCCCCGACAAACCCGAGTAGTTTTGGCTTAATTACGTTCCGGATGGTGCAGCCGCCTTAATTCTTACTGGGCCGGATTAACAGCGACGTGCAGAACATCTGCCCAGCATATGGCACAGGCCCACATGACACGCTGAACCTATTTCGCTGCCCAGCCACTCCTACTCACCTAACCCCAGTCTCGTTATGGACACAACTCATACAGGTTGCATCCATTTTGAGACTGGGCTTAGAGGCAGAACCTGATTGAATGGAGTGGAAAATGGAAACCGAACGAACACAGATGTATGAGCTGCTACAACAACAACAGTTAAGCAAGATAAGAGGCATCAATACATACGAATGTAAAAAAAATCCTAATTACAAAATCCTAATTAAATTACTCTATGAAAAATAAACAACCATAAAAGTGCCTCCCCATGCCAATAACTAAAAAGAAATAACAAAAAATAACCCGCAACCAGAAACTCAATGGACAGACAAATATTCAAAACAGCTCCTCCTGTATATATCATAAGTACAGCTAAAATTACGTAGGGTCGGAGACAAGAAACGCTTTCACACGAAACGCTTTATGTGATATTGCAGGCGATATTCAACATATCTGTCAAAGGATACACTAAGAAACATAATAACACACTGTATTACACGATCAATACTGCGCAACCCAAACACATACCTAACAATAGAGTTAACAAGTTTGCGTACACGCAGAATTTGGCAAGCATTGGCCCCAGATATGACCTCAAAACAATAGTTGACATGAGATTTTAATAAAGATCTGGCTACCATCAACCTAACACCAAGAGGCAAATAGCTTGAAGACTTTAGAGCCTCCTAAGCTAAAAACGCTCCCGAGAGAGCACAGAATGAAATGCAAGGGAATATACATTTAAAGAACTCAATATGCATGCCATCAACACCTACTCCAGATAAGCCTGGTCCGTAACATAACAGGCCGATGTTACCACATCCAACCTCAACCAAGCATCATTTTTTGTGAGAAAAACAATAAATGAAGCAACGCCAACTGTTGGTCAACATCACTCGTAAGATACGGAGGACTAAAATCAAAATTGCAAATATAATCTTCCACACACCGCCAGTCAGTCTTACGAGAATCCAGGAACTCAATAACCCTTTCTTCGTCAAGAACCCCCCCAAAAAAGGTTTTTCACACAAAAAAGGTTTTTTTTTAACAGAATGTTTTCAAAATTTTCACTTCTACAGTGTTTTCTAATTATATGGCTTGTTTTGAATCTTGTCATTCCTCTAATCTTGCAATATTTACACTGAATAATGAGATTTTCTTAATTCGCCAAATCGATCTCAATCTGAAGTGGCTAAAACAATGATCGATTTTAAATTATGTAATTAAAACCATTCCGATTGGAATGTGTGACATGGCGGTATAGCTGCCCCATTTAAGTGACATAGGAGAACGTCATTACAAGCGTATTTTTTGTTTAATTTAATACTGTCGCATAGTTTTTTTCATATATGATCTGAATACAGTTAAATGTTTATTAAAAACGACAGAAATATAATGGAATGTAATACACTTGCAGTACTAATATCATTAGGTCATTCCTTGTATTAGCATTTCGAAAAATTATAAGTTGGTTTTTGTACGAAATCAAATATTTTGAGGCACTTTCTGTGGGAATATTATCCGCGGAGGCAACAACCTATACTAAATTGGATCATTGCATTTGGTATAGCCATAAAGTTGCGTCCTGTGCATTTATGTCGCAAATTTCCCTAACTAACTAACATCAGATTGATATATCACATTTAAGACATGTAAAACACTGTATGAATACTAAAGGCCTGCACAAGACGAATTGTGTGAATTATGCTTATTTCGACACACTGACTTTGTCTATTCAATCATGCGCTATGTATTTGATAGGCAATAACAACCAACAACATCCCCCATTTTGATTCATGTGTGCCATTGTCTAAGGTTCGATCGTAACATGGCTGACTCGAATACTTGCATGGTGTTCTCCATAAATGCAGGGTGTCAACGATCACATCGAACCGTGTCATCGTCAAATTGTGTGTCATTTGTGTACGTGTGTTTAAATATTGAGAGTGTGTGTGTGTGTTACTTTCGACGGTGAGGGTGTGTTTTTGTGTGTGCTGTAATTTTGAAGTAACAAACACCGCGTACATATAAAATTGAGTTCAAATGAATAGAAAAAATGAAATATTTACTGAACAATCCCAATTTGTTGGTGATTATCATAAAATTTTGGTCATAAAAAAGAGGAAAATATTGTTTGCCTATTTTCTATCTACATAAAGTGTTCTTTTAAAATTAAAGTCTGTGGGCAGAGATTTGACTCTCATTCAATAACAGAATATGCACAGAATTGAACAATGGAAGTATATAGTGTTGTTACGTGAATTACAGTATCATTCATTCTCATTTACACATCACTGCCGGAGGCAAACATTTACGAAATCATAATCAAAATAAGAAAATTTTTCAGGCGATTATTGTTTTTTATAAGGATTAACATTTTAAATTGTTTCGTCAATAACCACGAAATGTGAAAATTTTGTGTGGACCAATTAGAAATACCTTTAATATTTTAGTATTCGCCAAGAAATTCTTTATTACAATTTTTTTTTCACATATCGGAAAAGCAGGTAGCGATTGCGCTTTACCTTCATCACGTGTGTGTCTTTTTCGTTGGCAATTGTTTCATAATTGTTGTTGTTTTTTTGATAGAACATTTTTATATGACACACTATTCAACATTCCCTTTTATTGGTCATTACATGTTATGACGATGGGTTTGAGTGTGACCGACATGACGAGACATCGAGCATTTAGTTGGATGTCACGTACTGTTATGCGTTTGATCAAACAGGGCACAACATGACGAGCGTTTTCTCTCCATGGCATAAATAGAGAAAATTGTCACATTTGCAGCCCTTTAATGAATACATGAAAAACACAAATTAGAACGTTTGATAAAATTTTTAAATGATACAATTTTTAAATGCGATATCAAAAACAATTGATTACACAATATAAAATTGTAGCAACATCAGTAAAGCATTCGGAAAGGAACAGTGAACAACAGAGAACAGCGTACTTTACCAAAGAACGTATGATTAGAAAAATTCTATTTTACCAAATTGTACCACGAATTTATTGTTTCCCTAGATAAGAATTTCATGACCAGAGGAGGAGGCTCCCGAATAAGAATATTGCTCCCGGAGTTTCACGATCGTTTCGGAAGATTTTATGAAAATATCCTTATAGGTATTTGTTGTTAACTATAACATATTAAATAATCCGATCTTTGTTACAATATACAAAACGGCTATTTCTAAAGCTAAGGCAAAAGGGCTATTCTCAAACAGTGTATGATTTTTTTCTCAATTGGAGAAACTTACGAATGAATGATCATTGTAAATCATTGAAAGTAGTAGTAAAACATAAATTAAACATGATTGTTTTTGTTGTTAGGTTGTATGAACTACAACGAAAAACGGACTATTTACGAAATCAGCGAAATGAAATTGAAGTTCAAATCCGTGCACAACAAGTTCTCTACGAAGAAGCATCCAAAGTCAAAAAGGAGATACAAGGAAAGAAAATGGAAATTAAACGTAAAATGATACAGATAGAAAGACAAAGGAGCAAAATCGAAACCCTCAAAAAAGATGTAGTTGGTAAGGTTTTGAGAATGTGGCCTCTAATAATAAATATAATATAATTTAATGTATAATTTTTAAATTTTCAAGTAACTCCCGCAATCGAAATGGAATTTAAGAAGATTTGTGATGAAGCGGTACGGGATATTTTTAAATTACAGGCGGAAAGAATTGAAATTCTTAAAGTTATTGAAAAAGCAATGGAAGACAAAGCATTTGCAATCAACAAATTCGGTATTTTCAGATTAGAAAATGATGAAATTGTTAACATTATCTCGGCTACAAAAGAAAAAAGGGACGAGGCAAAGGTATGTTACATTTATTTTATATGATCATCTAGTTTAACACTATAGTTACAGAACCGTGTGGAAATTATAAATAATAAATGCAGCAATCTTAAGCGGGATGTGAAACAAAAACTCTCTGAATCTTTGAAGTATACCAATCAAATGGAACCAACGCACACACAATTTCCCCATAGGCTTTTTTATAATAGTTTAACAAATAGCCTGGAGGAGTTACGTGACAAAATTAGCGATTTAAGTGGTCGATTGGACTGCATGGACAATGTCGATGCTGAGGTATTTTTTATGCCGTTTTATTTATAATTTCATATTTACTCCATGATGTCTGTGATTTTTTTAAAGATTGTAAGGGAATACGATACCAAAAGCCATGAAGTTGAAGCATTACAAAGAGAGTTGGAAGCAAATTTACATGGTGACGAAAATTATCTGTGTGAAATAAAGCAAATTTATGATGCATGGCATCCTGTTGTTATGCAAGTTGTAACAACAATAAACGACCATTTCGGGCAATTTATGGAGTCAATGGGATACGTAGGAGAAGTCAAGTTGGCGTGCAAAGAGGAAGTAAGTATTTTTTAATTTTTTTATATTTTTTATGAACTGAACATTTCCAATTGAAAACATTCACAAAGGCCATGCAATGGCCATTTATATATTATTTTTAACCAATTCCGTCATACGCTGCAGTATCCATTAGGATAATGTCGCTAAAGCCATTTAAATATCGAACAAAGGGAGGTAATGTTATATGTGGGGTATACGAAGACGTGGACCTGCATAAACAATTTTCTGTCATAGTTTGAAATGTCCATTACGAACTTTTTTTTCGAACGTTCCCACGCCTCACATTCCCACCCCTGCCGATCGAGGGGGCGATCTCCCTTTACGGAGGGATCGCGTACACATCATGGTCCGCATCATAATGGGAATTCAGTAGGAAATTGAAAACCAGCTACAGAATCTAATTCATCAGCTAGTTTGTCAAATAATAAAACATGTATGTTAATTGTTTAAAAAAAATTATTCTAGATTTAATAACTTCTAAACTCATACAAAAATCTACATTACAATACACAGAATTAAATTCAACACACTAAGAGGTTCGCCCGTATATAATTCGTGCGGTGAAAATCAGTATATAATAATTTGTAGTATCTACTAGATCTAAACGGAACATTAATTCAAAATCACTATTCCAATGTAATCCTCGTAAGGCAAATAGCAGAAATTGTTTTTGTACGGATTCTATTTTATCTGAGTATATTGCATATTGAGGATCCCATACAATAGAACCATATTCCAATATAGGTCTAACAAGAGACGTAAATAACTGTTTTGTTATATATGGATCAGAAAATTCTTTGGCCCACCGTTTAACAAAACCTAAAACACCATTTGCTTTATTTGCCATTGTTATTACATGGCTATTAAAATTTAATTTTGGATCTATCAAGAGGCCTAGATCGACAAATGAATCTACAGTTGATAATGAATGACCGTCAATATTATATTGTAATATCAGAGAAGAAGATCTGGAGAAGCACATATGCTTACATTTGCTTAAATTTAACTCCATACAATTTAACCTGCACCATTTAAGAAGGCTATCTAAATCGTTTTGAAGTAAACTAGCTCGTATATTATTATGGGGAATGAATAATTTAACATCATCTGCGTACATTTCGTACAATTTCGAGTAATTTATGGAATTAGGTAAGTCGTTGATAAATACGAAATTTTAAGCAATTCCGGTCTATAATGTCTCTAATACCATAAAAATATGGAATATTGGGGCTAGGCGTAGACGTAAGTAATCTTTTGTCATAGGCTGCAGTACCCATTAGGACCTTCAAATACGAAATTTAGATTAATTAAAATTAAATGATAATTTAAAAAGTAAGATAGGCGGACATTGGTAAATCGACTTATTTATACACTAACCATAAATTTAGCAAATTTAACCAATATATAAATATTTTAAATCGAAAATCGGATGAGATTATCAAACTCAATCTATTAATTTTGTCAATTTATATGTTAATAGGTTTTACAGTCAAACTGAAATTAAGAAAGGCTTAAAGTCGGGCGGGGTCGACTTTATTATACTCTACACCACTTTAAATATTTTGTAAGGCTACCCAAACGAAATAAACGCTTTTTGATAAAACGAACTATAGATCCCTGCAATGAACAAGCATTTAATTTGAGCTCTGTCAAGAAAATAATTAAATATTTAAAATTGGAGAAATTTACAATTTGACTGGACTATTACTTGTGGATATTGCTGTTTGAAGGTCTGGAGCTGTGGCTTTTGGTGAAGTTGGTTTTTCTCCTTGCCTTTTTAACCTGTTGCTGTGCATTTTCGTTTGGCGCTCTTTTTTTATTCATTTGCATCTGCCAAGGTAACCCTGAAAATGCCGTCGCTATTGACCTGTAATGTTTGTAAGGATCATATTGCCAAATCCAAATATAAGATTGGTTGCAAAGGCTGTGCAATTTTTTTCCATTTGGATTGCGTTGGCATTTCTGAGGCTGAAGCTAAAATAAATAAGCAACTCAGATACACTTGTGTGTGCTGTATTCGGGCTGCTGGTGGTAGTGGCGATGCTGGTGTGGTCAATCGCGGAACAAAAGTGAACACTGCAGTTGATGGACCTAGGGTTGGTGCCACAGCTGATGTTTCTTTCAATGGTAGTGATGGGACAGTGGGTGTTGCTGCGTGTGATGTTGTTGAGAATCCTTATGATCTGCTAGAGCTGCAGGATAAGTTGATTTTGTCTATGAAACAACAAATGGACACGTATATGGCTAGATGTCTGTCCGAATTCCGTACCAAAACTGATGCTCTGTTTGATCTTTATAATGCACAGATATCTGAAGTAAAGCGTGATGTGGTTGAGCTTAAAAAAACCGTAGTTGAGTTGAAGATGACAGTCTCTGAAGTTAAAAGTACGGCTTTGTTAGCAGAAAAGAAATTTGCTGATAGAATTTCTGAGCTTGAGTCTTTTAACAATGTGCTTCAACGAAGGCTTAACAGAGCTGATATCATTATAAGAGGTTTGCCGGAGAATATTAAAGACCTCAGGAGCTTGGTTCTTAAGGTTGCTAATTTGTGTGGGTTGCAACTATCTCATGGCGACATGCAGCAGTGCTGTTACATATCTGAACGTAGAGCGGTTCTGGTGAAGTTTAATTCTATTCACACAAGAGATTCTCTTATTCGCCGATTTGTTAAAAGAGTGAGGTAACCCTAAATGAAGTTATAGATAATTGTCTATTGGAGTCCCGTATCTACTTAAATGATCATCTTGTTAAATTGGCATCTAGTCTTGTCTTTGCCTGCAGAGGCCTGTTCAAGAAGAAGGTTGTTGAATAGTGATGAACCTCAAGTTGAGGTGATACTTGCTGATGGAAGTAAAACAATTTTTGAGCGACAAGAGCTTCTTAAATTTGCTCGTAGTTGTCCTCTGCAGCCGGATGGTGCTCTGTTGGTTGGTAATATGCTGCTGGGTCCTGCCTTGGGAGTATAGTCATGTAATGAAATTATTAATTTTGTTTTGATCTCATTAGCAATTTAATTGTTTTCTTGATGTAAATTCTTGCTTAATTGTTCTAAATAATCTTTCACATATATAGTTTTATTATTATTTATATTTTTATATTTTTCAGTTTTTAGTTTAAGATACGAAATCGAATTTACATAATTTTGCTACCCAGCCCCTTTATTTGGTTTGATGTCACTTGATGATAATCTGGGACCCATGATTAATGACGCTCGCTTTTTTAAACCCTTTATTGAGGGTTTGTCTGGCTGCCAAAGTATTCGTCCATCGAGATTCAATAATAAAATCGATGAGCTTCGATCCTTACTGGTTGGTAGTGGTATCAGCATTTTTTATGTCACTGAATCTTGGTTTAATTCTGCAGTCTCATCGAAATCGTTGGTTATTCCAGGATATAAGCTGGTGCGGAGTGATCGTGTTGGTGGTGGGGTATGTCTCTATATTCGTAGTGGCATTTCTTATAAGGTAGTTTTCCGTTCAAATAATTTTGGTATTTGTGAGTCGGTGTGTGTTGAGTTGAATATTGGGGCATTGGTTTTGCTTGTGGCGGTAGTATATCTTCCCCATGGCGATGTCCAGTCTTTCTGTGATGTACATGAGAGTTTGTTTGATCGCTTCTCTAATATCATTGTCCTTGGTGATTTTAACTGTAATTTATTTGTGTCTTCGAACTCTGTTTTGATGAGAGGACTATGCAGATCATTGGGGCTAACTATTGTGCATAACATGAAACCTACCCATTATAATTTGGCCCATAACTCTACCTCGTTAATTGATTTTGCCTTATTAATGATAATTTGTCGTTGGGTTGTATATATCCTGGTATATCACACCATGCCTTTGTTTTTGGTTTGCTTAACCTGCCTGTATTTTCAGAGGAGAGATTTATTGAGTATTGAAACTTTGGTCGAGCTGATTCGTTGGGCATTTTAAATGTCATATCCGACTTTGACTTCAACCCCTTATATTCCACTTCTGACGTGAATTGTCAACTTTCGCTATTTCATTTGTTATTTAACACGCTATTGTCTTTTGTTTCTGTTTCTGTTCGTCAACCCCAGGAATGATGCATGGTTGGAATCTGATGTGGTGCAATCGGCACGGATGTTTAGAGATCTTGCGTACTTTGAATGGGGCAAGCGACCTATGGAAGGTAATAGGATAATATATTGTATGTATAGGAATCGTTGTAAGGCTGTGATGAGGAGTGAGAGGCGTAAGTACTATAATGATTTGTTTGGTCGTATGAATAATAATTAGCTGAGGAAATCTCTAAAGTCGTTTGGTGTTTTGGGTAGTGGTAATGATGCTCCACCAATTGATGTCAATGCTGCTAATCATTATTTTTGCTGTGGGAATCCTGGTTTTGCTAGTGAGCGTGGTCAATCTCTTCATAGTGAGGGTTATGTGGGAGATGATGTTTTTCGGTTTTATTGCATATTTTATTCTGATGTTGTCATTGAACAAAGCTAAGTCGGGAGCTGTGGGGGTTGATGGCGTGCCAGTAAAGTTTTTTAAACTTATATTTCCATACATTTCCTGCATTTTGTTAACTCGATTTTTATGACATCTACTTTTCCTCGGGCGTGGAAGGTTGCACGAGTAGTGCCTGTGCCGAAAACTGGCGAATCATTTGATTTGTCAAATCTGCGTCCCATTAGCATTCTACCTGCTATGTCAAAAGTTGTTGAACATATTATTAAAGAAGCGATTGTTGACTTTCTCGATGATCGTAGGCTGTTTAGTAGTTCTCAGTTTGGTTTTCGGCGACGATGTAGTACGACTACACACTTATTATGTCTTACTGATGTGATTAGAGATGTATTTAATTCATCTCATGTTGGGTTATTATTGGGCCTTGACTTGTCAAAGGCTTTTGATTCGATCGTTTAATGGCTTCATATTTGGAAGGTAGGTCTCAGTTTGTTGTTCATTGTTGTTGTTGTTGTAGCAGTAGTACATACTATATGTGTTTGCGTTCTGCTAATCTGAATCCAGCTC